GATGATGGAGGTGTCTCATCCTGCAGCGCTCCTCAGATTGTTTAGTTGCCATCCAAAAACTTGTGTGTGAGTTTTTAAAAAGATGTTGTGTAATTATAAACAAAAGATGTCATGAGTGATGCTATTTTTCTTATGACACTGCAGTTTGTGAGGAAATGTAACCAACCTGATATTGGGACATTCAAATTTGGTATAACCTAGTCATAGAGAGAAATTCTTCATCACCTGATGTTTCACAATGAGTCCAAGGGAAATTTTACATGTAAAAAAAAATTGCACCCCTGATTCCTTCAAAGAAAATGCCGACACTAAACATTAAATAATTTGTTGTGTCAGAAAAACAGGAAATGGACTTAATTTGGATTGTGCACTGGTGGCCACAGTATGATAATTTTCAAAGGTGACACAACTTGTATATGCTGGATTATATAAATATGTGCTGGTGTGAAACCACAAGTGTGCTTTGTGTCTCACCTGTTGGGTCCTATCTGTTACACTGTCTCACCCTTTGTTTGCTCATGAGTGCGTAAGCTGCAACTGCCATGTCAAAGTTTTGTGGCCGAAAAGACGTATCACACTAAACTTTGTGATGAAATGATGAATAACTCACAACTTTTGCTAAATTGCTCAATACGTTAAATCAAAAGTATTGCAGAATAAAATCTGTAAAATAATATAAAATATTCACTGCTGGCTTATTGTTCATATTCTGCAGGGCAATATTGTCTTTTGTTACGGTATTATTTTCTGCAGTACAGTCAGCATAAAAAAGAAACCTTAACTGATTCTGAACACAAAGCGAAACCCATTTCTTGTCAAAACCACCCACATTTCCTGCTGTTTGTTGCTCCACCGCAGCACCAAAGTTGCAACTGAAACGCTTTGCCTGTATGCTAGAGTACCTCTGTGTGTTTGGTGTGTGTCAGTGAGTGCACAAACCTTTAGTTCAACCATAGCACTGACCTTCTCGCGAGCATCAGTTTAAATTCAAAGGACAGAGAGGCCCCAGCTCCCTAGTTGTGTCATGTGGCCAGATTAATCATATTTATATTCACGCTCACATGAGCGTTGGTGATGGTGAACTGTTCCACCACAACAACGAACAAATAAAGTTTTTTTTTGTTTTTTTTTTAAGAAAATAAAAAGCTTTTGACAGGGTGAATCTTTCAAGCTTGTTGCTGATAGAAATTTTCCACTGTTGGTTGAGCGAGTCCGCAAATAAACATTCACACACACTGATGTTGACCTCATATTCATCATCTACACGCATGCTCCACCTGTTGTACATGCAAGCTTGTATTTGTAATAATCACTTGCATGCACAAATAAATAACTAAATAACCAACAACCTACATAAATAAGCTATGAACTGTTTAGCAGAGCAGTGAGTGTTGTCATTGGGTCCAACAAAGTCTTTCAAAGTATTTAATTCTAAAGGGCACTGGACAAGTTTTGATTGTTAATAGAATTTAAATTAAATAATTTGGTTATAACCTCTAAACCTCAGTTAAAGATCCAAATGAAAAAAAAGGAAAATTTAGGGTTTTACTTGTTAAATGTAAAACCTAATGTCCATATAAAAAAATAGGTCTGAGGTGAATTTGAATTGTTAACTTCCATTTAGATTTGGTAAAGATATAATGAACTAACTAGCTGAACAAATTAATAAAACTGGAACTAATGTAAAAACTCATTAAATATAACCTAAAATAAATCTTTAATTAAATGATTACACTTTTGATTCTGTATTAAACAGTGAGTTTATTGCAGGTTTGCGTCACTCTTATTTCGCTGTCTCCTAGATGGACACCACATTGACCTCGTCTTTGTCAGCCAGCCTGCTGTTATTGATGTCATCCATTTTGTTGCTGCAGTGGTCTTTTTCAAATCTATGGAAACCAACAAGACCAATGCATTCACCTCTCCTCCACCATAAATTGTAGCTTTTCATTCTCCATTGAACTCATGACTTTGACTCTGAGACGAGGGATGGGATTAAAGGCGCTGACAGAAGGTGTCAAATTGATACTGTCTCCTTGCAGTATTTACTATACTATCACTATAGAGAATGACTGCCACACTACGGTGGATGACAGAGAGAATGTGTAGGAAAGGAGAAGCTCTTTTGTCTAAAATAAGAAAAGAAGTGAAGGTATTGTCCCCATGTATGCACAAATAAGGAGGACTGGCAACACCCAAACACAGAAAAGAAGAAAACGCATAATATTCATATAAACACATGACTGTATGTACACAAAAGGCACAGAGACCGAGCTGTGTGACTGCACCCAAAACCTCTTTTATCTGGCACTGCATTAAGAATGTATGACTGTGATTTTCATATAATGTGTGTCATATCACAAAGTGGCAGGTTTTCCAATTGTCCAATAATGATCTATTTGCCAATTCAATACTATTGAAGAAGAGACAGCAGGCAGACGTAAAATGAATAAAACATTGAATGGAGGGATCGTGACAGTTCCATTTCAATCTCTCTCTCTCGCTCAGAAAAGTCTCTAAGAAGACTTGTGTGCAATTGGGGTAAAATCAGTACTTGGACGGTTGCCTGAGTTTGTGTGCACATTGCATTCCTCTGTTCTCTTTATCTCACACTAGACGCCTACGATGCACCACTTTCACAAGCAAAGCAAACGTCTTCTCGCATCTGCTCTCTTGTTTGTTAAGATAGTTTACTGGCAATATCCACGCTGGCTGATGTAGACTGTATCCATGGCTAATTAGCTAATGCCATTGGAGCCCTGAGCTAAATATAAATATAGGATACAAATGCAACCCTCTTAAGTGCAAATACACTGTAAGGTACAGAAAGTTGGGGGTGTTAGTGGATCTTTAAAACAACGATTACCATGTCTTTTTTTTTTTTTTTTTTTTTTTAAGTGTGATCGTCTCATTAGAGAAGGGGACAAAAAGAAAAATCTGCAGGGGAATTGAAAGACATCAGGCGTTTTCACTTTTTAACTTTTTTTTTTATTATGCAGGTTTGAAATAAAAGAAGCATTGTGACACAAACCGATGCTGCTGGCAAGGAAAGAAAGGAGCAGCATCCAAAATGTATAAAATAAAGAAATAATCATTGCTGTGGTCATCATCATTTTTATCAAACCAAAGGAAAAAAAACAAACAATAAAATAAGAATAAAAATACACCTCCATTGTAAGAAGCAAAACGTGATCTAATTTCTTTCATAAATAAGAAAACCGGTCAAATGACTTATGGGCAACTAGCGAAAACAATATATTGATAACCATTTAAAATATTTATTATTACTGGCTTTACAAATAAAATAACTACAATTGGCAGGGTTTTTTTCTTTTTTTTTTTTTACACAACTTAAAATTTTATAGTTCTGTAACAACTAAAACTGAAATGATGCTACAGTAAAGAGATAAAAACAGATGTCTTCGTCAGCAAAATGCATTGTTAATCACACGAAAGTTAAAAAGATGAGATCAATACAACCAAACACCGACTAGAAACTTATAAAAATCACTGTAATGTGGATGTGATGGCTCCATTCACATATTTCATTACTTCATTTCTGCATGTCGAGGAGACAAAATTGACATTATGGTCAGACAAAGTAAGAACGGGGGGGGAGGGGAGGGGGGGCATTTTGAGGCAATATCTTTTTCTTCTTTTTTTTTTTTCACCTGCAACATTATATCTCATTTTTATCTCCCAGCGTTTCTTTCTTTCTCTCTTTCTATGTCCTTCCTCTCCATCTCTCACCTGGCTCTTTCCATTTAATGATCTGCAGGACACATATTGTGTATTCAGTTTTAGATTGAACTTTATTGGAAAAAACACACCAGTGAGCACAGATTTAATGCAAGAACGAGAGTGTGAAATACTCCTCTGAAATCCAGCTGCACAAGGCTGTTAAAATTCACGAGAAAGACTCGACACTCGAATACTGAGACACTCTTGCACGCAAAGTGTGTGTCCGTGCACATACACACATACACACTCAGCTGCACACCGTTATGAATGGGGTACATTCTAACGTCCAGACATACGCGCGCGCACACACACACACACACACACACACACACACCCAAACACACACACAAACACACAAAATGACTTACATGTAATATTAAAGAAGAAACAAATCTATCTGGACTTCCAATTCCCAATTTGATCCCATAAAAGTGATATTTACAATCACACTGTGACAGCTCAGTAGACCTAAACAGGTCTTTAATATTAAAAAAAGATTCTTTTTGTTTTGTTTCTCTTCCCCACCCAAGCTTTTTGTATTAATTTGCAGGCCCTTAAGCAAAGCTACCATAACATCAAGGCCTGTGCTGAACCTACTAGAAGTTAATATTTCTCTACAGTACAGAGCCCAACGCTTATTGGCAAAAAAAAAAAAAGAAAAAAAGAAAAGAAAAAAAAAGAACAATTTTGCAAGCCAGAAATAAATAAAACAGCAACAACAACAACAACAACAACAAAAAGAAAAAAAAAAAACACAAAAGTAAAATTAAAATGATTAAAGAAGAGGAAGAGTAGTTTTTTTTTTCTTCTCATTCTAATTAAAGCTGGATGGGGTCCCTGAGGGGACTTCGATGGTGACATAGAAGAGGAGTGCTCAACGGCCCAGCCTGTATCGGAGAGGGCACAGACACACAACTCAAGAGAGAGGAGGGAAGGGTGGAGGGGGGATTGGGTGGGCAGCAGTAGGGAAGAGCAGAAGGGGGGGGGGGCTTTATAAGTGCTTGGCAAATTTAAACAGCAAGAGGACTGCTAATACATTAAGTGGTACAGACAGTAGTCATCTAGTCAAAAAACTCTGGTCACAAATTCTTCTAGAAACTGAGAGAAATGATAGTTACATTGACAAAAAAAGGTGGTGGTAATGGTGTTTGGGCGGCAGAATAAGTGTGTGTGTGTGTGTGTGTGTGTGTGGGTGTGTGCATGTATGTAATTGTATGTTGAGTGTGCACTGTATGTATGTGTGTGCATCAGAAGAGGGTTGGGGTGGGAGAGGGGGAAGGGGAAGGGGTTGGGGTGGTGAGAGTAGACTCCTCGGTGTCGTATTTGTCGACAGAGTATGATCTTCAGTTTCAGGTGAGGTAGAGTGGCTTGTCCCTGCCTATCATGCTGCCACTGGAGGAAAAAAAAAAAGAAAAAAGAAGAGGCACAGGTTAGATTACAAACAGAAATACACCGGTAAAGAAAAAAGATTCAATTACAAAAGAACAGCAAAATAGCAGGTATATTTTCCTCTGAATGCAAACACAATTTAAAGCAAAAACATCCATTCTTTTAGCTTCAACCTCGCTCTAAACCGAAGCCTGTTAATAAATGAAACATTTCATATAGTGCTTAAGCATGCCGAGCACCGTCGACTTAGAATATCCTCCAGTGCTGCAGGACAGCACAGACTGCCAAACCATTTAGTACAATAACAGTGAAAACTTGTGTTAGGAACATCTGTTTTTTACTGCTGTCTGACAAACACATGACAAGCTCTATTATCTCACCATTACCTCTCCAGCTGTCTCCCCTGTCTCACTGGAGCAGAGCTGACAATTTTCAACACTTATATTGTGAAAGCAGTGGGAGAGCCGTCCGCCACAACAATATATGCTTATTTCTAATGGAGTTCTGGTCTAAGGTTCAGATCTGTAGTAAAATTCAAAAGGTGACATTGTAGTCCCATGATCTTTACGTAGTTTATGTTTGGTTTTTTGGGTTTTTTTTTACGATGTATTTAGCCTTTTACTAAGAGTAAATGAGCCACGGTTTTGCTCAGTTCATTTGTCTCCTTTCCAAGTGTTATTCAAGCCCATGTGATTTGATGAGGTGCAGTAACAAAGGTTATTGTGGAAAAACAGACTGTGGGAAGCAAATAAAACCGTCTCCTCTGTTTCCACTGACCTGCAGTGGTTGCCACACTCCCGATTGCAGTATTCACTGTCCCAGTCATGGCTCTGAGCCACTCCAGGGCCTGGACCAGGGCCAGGGGCTCCTGGAGACTGGGAACCCCCAATGCTCTTCTGATACTCTGACTGGAGGTGAGAAAAACCCTGGAGAAAGAAAGAAAATTAAGCTAACGTTTTAACGTACAAACTGTTCCACAGCAGCAGGTGTGTCTCTGTTTGTTACTTTACCTGCTGCCCAGGAGGTGGGGAGTGAAGAGAGGCCTGCAGCCCCATCTGGTGAGGGATGATTGGCTGGGACTGGACCTGCTGCATGCGGATAGGCTGGTTGAGGAGCGAGCTCTGGTGCAGGGAGAGCTGCTGGTGGGGGTGAAGGGGAGGGCTGATCTGGAAGGAGGAAGGGGGAGAGGCACTAATGCTGGGCAGCATCTGCGATTGGCTGAGCGTCTGCGACAGGGTGTGGCGAGGGGCGTGTCCTGCGTAGCTCTGCAGGTCGGTGAGAGGGAAGGCCCCGGGCCCCAGGTAGGGCGACGACGGCTGGGGAGGAGGTGGCACACTGTACAGGGGTGGGTTGGCTGGCATCATATGTGGAGAAGCCTGGCTTGTTTGGGCACTTTTTGTCTCCACTGGGTCATTATATGTCTAGACAGGAGAGAGGAGAAGGAAAGTGCTCATTGCTAATTGTAACAATACCTGCAGCCTTACACTGCACTCTGAACAGCGTGCACTCTATACTATTCATTACCTAAACTCATGTTTAGCCATTGCGGCTAATGCTTCCCTTGGTCACTGCTCTGTTCTTCTCTATCTATTCCACACAAAGCCCTGTTGACGCTGTGAGACTTAACACACACCCACACACCCACACACTTATTCTGCAGGTCTTTTTGTCTAGCTTTTTTTTTTTTTTTTTCTTTCATGAGGTGGTGTATGTATGAAATACATCCAGCGTTTCTCATTAACTGTCAGACTGGCTGGAGTGATGTGTGGTGGTCTGCTATTTAGTAATGGCTCACATCCATCCCTTCGTACCCCAGAAATAATCAATGGAACGGGATGGAGGGATGGATAAAGCAGAGGGACAGACACGTTTTGCAGGGTCAAGTGGGAAATGAACGCTAAAGAAATGGGGGGCAAAGGGAGAAGGAAAGGGTGAGACGATGGGTGTGATTTGTTGCACCTTATTTAATTTCAATGCATTGTAATAAAAGGGTATTATATGAACTATATGAGCAGTATGTATGTTAAAGGACAGTTCATGAGGACTGACTTTTTTCATTTAAGACTTTTAAAAAAAAAAAAAAAAAAAATCACATTCTGTACTTTTGGATTCAGATGAAGGCAAGAGAAGTGCCATGACTTACAGAAGGGAGCAATCAAACTTTTTTTCTTCCTCTTCTTCGTCTTCTTCTCCCAAACAAACCGACATGCGTCACAAAACAAAAAGGCAACAGGTGCACGCTGAAGATGTGAATCCTTCAAATGAGGCTCCAATTACCTCTAATTCCACCCACCCCAATTCACTTTGAAAAGACTCCTTCATTGGTAATTAAAAAAAAAAAGAGAGAGAGAGAGAGTTGGGTTGAATCATGAGATTCAGGCCTGCATTCGGATTGGCTGGTACTGAATGAGGAAAGGGGGGGGGGGGGGGGTTTGCAGGTTTATTTTTGTCAGTCAGTTTTTTGACTGGCAATCTACCAACATATAGTATCAATCAAACCTCTGTATAGGAGCTCTGACATGAATGTCTAATTGCACCAAAGACAAGAGATGAGAATGGTCTTTTTAGTTGAAAGTATGCCACAGTGAAGAGGCTGATGAATTAACTATTCATGCTTTAATCAAGGTGCTTGTTTTCGGCCCATGAGCATGAGAGGAAGTGTGGCGCTGTGCGGAGGGGGAGGAAGGAGGACGGGGTGAGGGAAGGAGGGAAGGCGGGAGGGAGGGAGGGGGGAAAGAGGAGGAGCTTGGCATATGCTAATGCAATTTAGAGTTGTGTTTCGAAAACAATGCAGACACTGAGGAATTAAATGCTGCGCACCAAGTGAACAGAAACACCCCTATACTGTGATAATGTTGGTAGAAGCCTTGCAGATGTAAGAATAAGTGTGTGTTTGTGTGTGTGTGTGTGTGTGTGTGTGTGTGGGCGGGTGGGGGGTGGGGTGGATTGGGGCTTTTATAATGTGGATATGGTTTTCACACAAGCTGATAGAAATGTATTAATGTTCGGGGCTAAACTGGAGTAACCCTGCAGCAAAGAGAGAGCAGTAGGTGTAGGTAAACCTCAGCCAACACATTAGCGGCCCATCAGGGAGGACAGCAAATGATAGGTAATGTCCACTTCTGCTCTTACATGTGTGCGCACACACACACATACAAACACACACACACACACACACACACACACACACAGAGACATTTATTGCTACTTTTTATTTCTCCCCAGGTTGCAAATCGGGTTGTGTTTCAGGCCTAATTTTCACTGTTCGCCTCTGAGCACACACACACACACACACACGCGCACACGCACGCACACACACACACATACTAACCCTTTAGTGCAGCAAGTGGACCCTTTCCTTGGAATAAAAGTGAGAGGAATTCTCTGTCTAATTTATCATCCCTTATATCGCTGCTGACCCATGTATATCAAAGACGTGACCCCCGCTGTTACCTTGGAAACCAGACTGGCTCTGTAGGCGGCCAGGGCTTTCAGGTACTCCTTCTTAGCAGCCTCTGTTTTCCTCTTGTAGCTCTGCAGGAGCAAACACAACAACAACAACAACGATTGATTACAAGGTGATGCCAAAGGCTAAAATGACCCTGTGATCCACACTGACTGATGTGGAAGGGGTTTTGGGAGCCATGGTGTGATTGTTGTGACCTGGCAGCGCACTCTGCGATGAAAAACATATCAGATGCATTCACTGCACAGTTATCAAGTCAAGGAGCTTTGACCGTCTGCGTGATGCTGCTGCATTTTAATCATTTATTTCTCCAAAATGTCCAGAATGAGAAGCTTGTGCGCAATAATGTCAGGAATGGAGTTTGAAATATTACGGAGCTAAATGGGGAGTGAGAAGCTGTTTGTCATTTTGTGTACTGCTTTTCAGTCTTCTCCTCTGTCAAGGCTGTTGCTCATCTCTTAATCAGAGCTGATGTTCCAGCAAATCATTCAGACGAGGGAGGAAAAAAAAAAGAAAAAAAAAAAGAATTCAAAACAGCATTAGCAAAGAGGCAATCTCAAGCCTTCTGAATGAACCTCAAATGATGCGTGTAGACAGGGAATTCGAGTTAATGTCATCACATGTCACTCACGGCCTCTTTATAGCTGCCATTGCCTTTCTGATGCAGGGAAAACAAGTTGCAAAAAGTCCACCCTTAAATCGATGAGGAAGACTCAGATCTCAGTTCCTCTCTGGAGCATTTTAATATGAAAGAGAGTGTGTGTGTGTTTATGCGTGTGTGTGTGTGTGTTTATGTGTGTGTGTGTGTGTGTGTATGTGTGTGTGTGTGTGTGTGTGTGTGTGCGTGCGCGTGTTTATGTGTGTGTGTGTGTGTGTGAGAGTGAATGCAGTGGGTAATTACTGATCCTCAGTGAGAGACTGTCTGTGGATCCATGGATGGGGTCATTTCTTTCAAAGAGGTGGGGTAGAATAACCATTAAGCATTCATGTGCTGCTGAATGCACATAGGCAGAGGCAGCCGCTAACACATACAGTCAATAAACAAACAGACATACGCATAGAACAGCAAACAAACCGGGATGAAGACGGATACAATCTCTTGCTCAAACAGCTGATGTTTATCCCCTCACTCATCCCTATTTACATTATTATTATTATTATTAGCTCCCCTTCCATGATATACATTCAGATATTTTGGAAGAAGAGTGGCTTGAATTAGGAACTCTAAGCTACAGATTTCAGACATACAGATCATAACAAAAACAGATAATATCTATTAAGAAATGAATTAGAGTTGTTGTGGGAAAAAAAATGTACACAAAAAGTGACAACCTTAGCCCTCACCCCTTAAATATTGATAGAGCCATGGCTGCCTCTTTAATGAACCCCAAACTACTCCCAGCAGCTTTAATTTCAAATTAATTTAACACAGCTAATGATTCGCGCAACGACGGATACTTTTAAATAAATTACCATGCCTAAGGATGTCTAATTATTCCAAAGTGAGTGGATTCATTAGCAATTGAAGCCGTCAGAGGCTGCAGGTCAGTATGAATTAAAAATAACAAAGCTGCAAGGAGAGAGCATATGCCTCCATCGTAATCCTGACACAGAGGTGTCCCGCCTGAATTAGCCCCTAATTGTACCTTAATGAAATGTTCTTGTTTGATAACCAGTTAATTACAGGAGACAATAACTCCGCACCCTGCTGACACTGAAGGGAGTGATTACCCCTACGACCGAAAGACCGAGCAACCGGTGAGAGGAGGAGGAGGAGGAGGAGGAGTAGGAGGAGGAGAGGAAACAAACGGGAAGTATAGAGATAGAGGAGAGTGGAGAGAGGTGAAAAGGAAGGGAGGAGAGGGGAGGAAAGGAAAGGAAAGGAAAGGAAAGGAGAGGATAGGAGGTTTGTAAGAGGAACAGGGGACAATTACAAATTAAAAAGAAGGAAAAAAACAAAGAAGTGTATGTTTAAGGAAGATAAAGAAGCAGAGAGAAGATACAGATGGATACTGTTGAACAGCTACTAAAGCTTAGCCTGGATGAAGAGTTTACACCGGTTAAACAAAGTGACAGTATTTGTTTTCTTCTATCTCCGACCTTTCACCAAAACACAACTCCAACACAGCAGACTCAGTTTAATACAGCTAAGGTCTCTCCTCCCTCCTCCCCAACTGCATTATCATTGTTCCTCCCTTCTCCTGGTAAAAACTGAAAATTGATCTTAATCTTAAATAACACAAAACAAGAAAAATGTTCTTTTGTGTTTCTTGGGCAGCTTTAACATGTAGTCACCTTGAGGAATAACACAGCCCAAATAATACATTGATCTTGCACAGTAAAGCAAAGGCCTTTGGGGATTTAAAAAAAAAAAAAAAAAAAAAAACGTTGTATAGCGTGTGTAAGCTACGAAAACATCTTAATAAAAAAGAAAATATGAACATAAACATGAATAATAAAAAAAACTTTGTTCTCTGAAACTCAAGGACGGCACTGGAGAATACACAACAACACGGGCAAAGGAGGGGGGGAAATGCATGACAAAAAGAATCACAAAAAAGAACAGAATTCACAGCAATGAAACTTCTGATCATTATTTAAATAAAATACAGCAATAACACACATCGCCTTCGCTGCGTTTTTTCTTTTTTTTGTGAGTTCGGCTGCGCGGTGTGTTTGAGGGGCGCTACAGGTAATTGGAAACAGGGGCCACGTTCTAGTTATAACAAAGATGTGTGTTGGGGGAAGGGTTATGTTTACATTCTGGTGCTCCTGCGTGGCTCCACAGGGTCTGACTGTGACATTATAGAACACACCTCATTGGTCCTGTGGAGATGACGTGACAGTCAGTGTTGGAAAAAAAAAAAGAAAAACGAAAAGACATAACAGCACATTCATCAACTGATCAAGGGAAGGGGGCAATAGAAGCACGTAAGCTATGAGACCTCACCATGGACAGTTTTTCATATTTTAAATGCATTTCACCTGAACTTTACTGGTCAGCAGTTGGGTATACAGTATGGTATAATAAAATACGTTCTTATATTAAACCAAGGACATTAGATTTATCATTTAATGTGCATCATATCATATTAACACGCAATTGCTAAATTGGTTACACTCTCGAAATACACGGTTATCAAGTTTATCCATTTGTTGTGCTGGAATAAGTGACAGTGTTAGTCACTGAGAATAATTAGAGCAATCGCAGTGTTATTGCCCAGAGAGGGTACTACATTTCAGTCCATAATGACATCATTACCTCCAGTTAATTATGTGTCTTGCAAGGTGACACGTTTGATTAAACACATGAATGCACAAACAAATCAAAAAATTAGCTGTGGAATGGCACAACAAATGGATGGATTTTTAATGGTGGAATTGCCCTTTTGTTAGTTTCATCTCTGTTCCCAGGTAAAACTGTGAAGGACAAATGCATTTAGGGGAAGAGAGAGAGAGAGGCAGACAGACAGACAGAGAGAGAGAGCGAGAGAGAGAGAGAGAGAGCATTGCATCTACAGTGCAAAATCTAAGGTGAAAAAGGAGCCAGGACACACAGGGTTAAGAAGCACAAACAATAACATTTCAGGAGCAGATGTCCTTGAGGCGAAACCAAGGACAAGGCAATTGCTAATCTTGTATTCCCAGCATGATCAAATCACCAGGCAACAGATATAAATAAAAGGACAGGAAATGAGGAATTCACATTCAAGGGTGTCAGCGGCGAAATGAAGATTCATGGTGAAGAGCCCCGGTGAAGGCGGCAAAAATTAACTGCAAATAAAAGGGACAGACGGCCTCCAAAGTCCAGCGTATAAAGTAGGTTTGGTGGGAGAAAAACACACACATGCTAGATAGGGTCTAGTCGACAGTGGCTGGGGCTGAGGAGAATGGGCTGCACTTTGTCATCGAGACAGGTGCTTTTATTTGACACCCAATAGGCTGCACCCTGACTGGATATTCTAAAAATATGAGTCTGCGCATGATCATCAGACTGTCTCGTTTTCCATTCATTTCACACCATCATTTGTTACCACAAACACATAGAAACCTCTTTGACTTTGTCTGTTGGTCTGGAATGCTAAAATGAAATAGAAAATGTGCCGATGGAAATGCTTTCCACGAATGTTGCTGCAGTTCCTTATGCACAGTTGAAGCTTTAACAAAATGAAATTGACTCCTGGAAATATGCTGTCAAATATATCTGCGGCTGATTAAACCAAACTTTTCACTTCTGTCAGTACTATATGATTTTTTTATGGCATTCACACAGGAGAGTGACAGAATTTTATTGTGTACTGGTAGCGCATGTGTAATTCATTAATAAATGCTTTTACAGCTGAGACAATAAGTGGATTAATTGGTTAGTCGATCAACAGTCAATGAATCAGTAACCATTTTGATAATTGAATCATTAATTTAGAAATTTTTGAAGCAAAATTTCAAAACATTCACTGATTTTAGCTTCTCAAATGTGATGATTTGATCCCTGTCATTGTCATACATGAAAATAAACTTGAGCTTTTGACTGTAGTTCCGATAAAACAAAACGTTTTAAGATACTACAGGGCTTTGCGAAAATATAATGGGCAGTTTTTACTGTTTTCTGACATTTTATAGACCAAATGATTAATCAACTAATCAAGGAAAGAACCTGCAGATCCATTGATAATGAAAATAGTGTAGTAGCGGCTGTAAATGCATCACAACATGATTTCAAGGCAGTTTTTACTCCTGTAATACACCCAATAAATCAATCTGACGTCATCAATCAGTGGCAATTAGAGGATGGTGTAAAATGCTAAAACGTGAATCTACCTGTTTCTGCTCCTCTCCGAGTCCGTCCCACATGGAGGCTACTATCTTGGATACGTCACCAAAGGTGGCATTGGGGTTCTGTCCCTTAATGGCTGCCTGGGTGTCTCTGAAGAACAAGGCGTAGGCTGACACGGGCTTTGTAGGCTCATTGGGATCCTTCTTCTTCTTCTTTTTTTGGGGTTTGGGCTTGGGCTTCATCATCTCTGAAGACGGCCGCTTCTCGCCTGTGATCTGGAAGACCATCAGAGGGACACACAAAAAACAAAACAGCTTATTGATGCTGCAGAAAGAAGGTCTAACAATTCTATCTAACTGCCTTTGGAGGGAATAATTGCATCTCTGATAAATGCTTATAACATTAGGTCCAGGTGAAGCATGTAAACTTCATTAAATCCATAATTCAATCTCTCCGTTCGACACCCGTGTCGTCAGCGTTTGAATATTGCGGCGATGTTTCACTGACAGTCACACTCTGACACAGGCGCTGGTTGACAGCAGTTTTTCTTTTCTGCCTTACTTTGTCAAAAATAACATCTGTTAGTTGAATTTATCAAACCTTTTCAAATCTTTATTTTTGAGTTGTTCAGCAAGTCATAAATTCTGACTTTTCATGCTAGGGGTGAAAGGAATTTTAAATCGCCTGCTGTATCTGCTCTGGCTTTGATGTGGTCTCAGAATGAATTGGAGAGAGCAAATGGAATTACTTACTGATAGGAGAGATGGTAATCATTTTTATTCACACACACAGTGAGAAGCACAGCAGAGATGTATAGGCCTGGAAATATATTTTTTAAACTACAGGATCCCCCTTCTTGTTATACTGTATCACTGCGACCTAGCATTTAAATACACAGATGAATCTGAAACACTGGTGGACCAGGCAGATTAAATTATACACTCATTCACATTTCCCTGATAGAAACGAAGCAAATCCGTGGAGACATTGGTTGGTGGGCAATTTTGTGAAAGCAGTTTTTATAGATTTACATAAACCAAATGAATCTAAACAAGTATCCTTCTCGTTTAAATGAATGAGTGATTTAAATGGAGGAGTGGTAGGTTTCAAATAGGGCTGTATATAACAAAATTAAATGGGACTGCCAAAACCTTGTATCTGTGTTGATGATCAACCCATTAAAATATCCCTCACATCTGTAAATAACATTCCAACAACTACACATATTTCAACAACTGCATCATGTGAAAAGATTTCACGTCATGTCACGTGTGCGCGAGGCATGCCATGGATTGTGAGCAGTTCACAAATGTGTCGTTGGAAAAAGAAATTTGTCTGAAGATGAATTATTTTTTCACTCAGAATATAGAAAAAGAGATAAAACAGTTAAATTCAATCAGGAAGCAATTTTCTTTTCAAATGTGAGACCACACTGCACCACACCACTATAAATACAAAAGAAAACAAAAAAATCATAGCTATAAATCCGACTCCAGCAAAACTGTTCGACCAAGTCTGAATCTTCCAGGCGACCAAATAAAAGAAGCACAAGCATATCTATGCCTGTGTTCCTGCAGCTAGCATGCAAAAACTCTCAGAGAAGCGCTGCCAAGCCCGCGCCTGCTACTCCACAACTACAAGCCAGACAAGCCACATCAGTACCTTCGAATGAGGATCAGTCTCCTCTTCCTGATTGGAGCTTGAGGGGGAGGGTGTGGCCGATTTACTTCCGGGAGGTGAGGGGGAGCCATGAGGCAGTGCACTCCGGCTGACCTGAGAGTTTAGCTGGGACAGTGCACTCATGGGGTTGGGCAGTATCGGAGGTGAGCTGTTTATCAGGGGGTGGTTACGGGCGGGATCATAATGAGTGCCGTCTGGGTGCTGGTGATGGTGTTGCTGTTGGTGGTGGTGCAAAGCCATCTCCTGCATCTGGGGTGAGAGAAGAACACCAGCTTTACTATCTTCTCCTACTCAAAGGGATAAAAGGTTGCCAATCAGCCAAATATGCAATTACTTAAAAGTGGAGATGACATTATCAAATTTGAGAAAATGTGTCAAGAGCTAAAAAAAAAAAAAAAAAAAAAAAAAAAAAAAAAGACAAAAAGACTTACAAAAATTTAGATGTAAAGAGGGTCATACGTCTGTTGAAAACTAAACAGACAAAAAACAACCCTCTTACAGGTCTCACAGTTGAACTTAGGCTGGTGGTTAGAAAGCTTCTCTTTCCTTTCTGCACTGTCTTTTCTTAGGGCGGTAACATACACTATACGGCAGCTTTGTGGCCAAGTTTATCTGCTGCTTGTTTGGTACCTGCCTTCAGCACTGACCTTATTGAGTACTGCTATGAAAATCCAAGGTTATTAGTGAGCTAAACCAACTAAATATCTCACAAAAATAAGACGATATCATCTCTCCAGCTCAAGCCAAAAAAAAAAAAACTCACTGCAACTTCACTTTAGACACTAAACAAGACACCGAACAGTATTCGCTCCCTGAGGACTCATACCATCTAGAAAAACATGAATGTAGCACCTGTGACATCCCACTTAGTCTCACTTTGAAACCTGGAAGCATTCAGGCTTGTTGCATGCCACAAAATTTGTCAGTCAGAAGACACAGAAAAACTACATTCTCCATTAGGTGGAGCTGGGTGGAGCCCGATGTTGGATACAGTGAGCAGCAATCACCATGACTCACTGTGATAGGGTGGCTGTCAATCAAGCAGATGTGACCCTCATATAATGTTTTTAAATAATCGATTTTATAAATGAGAAATAATCTTTGAAATCACATGACTACTTGCATGAAAAAGCTGTCGCTCGTGGTAATGAGCCCGCAGGGATAGGTCATGTGACTCTGCTGTTCCCCTCAGCTCTACAGGGAGAATTTTACCGTCTTTCAGCTCATTGTTTTGGTTTTCCAGGTCACTCACACTGATTTGTTATTTAAGACCAAAGCAAAATGCTCTAAAAACACAGCTGTAACACTTCCTGTTCAGCACCAAGTGACAGATAGAAGCACTTAATAACTAGGACATAGTGGAGCAGTTAAAGAGCCAGATATTTTTCTTTGTGGTTAGTGGACGCCAAAAACAGAGGTAAAATGAGAGTGAACATAATTCATCAGGTGGCCAGAGACACAACTCTGAATCAATGCTAATGTTGCTGTATCTGGTAGATGTGAAAAACGAGCAACCGTTTGCTAACAGGTTCGCCACATAAATTTAAAGGGTGATATTATGTCAGTGTTGCGCTCCGTTGCTCAAGTGGCTAAAAAAAGAAAATCAATTATTGCAAGTTTATCTATGAAAATAAAACTACTTTGCATTTTAATGAAGATGTTTTTTACTGTACAATTCAAGTTTTCCACGGCTGTGAGACTTTAGGGGGGCTGTATCTCAAGGCAGTTTTGCATTTGCTTCAACATTCACCCACGTAACACACAGGCCCATTACCACTTAGCTCAAAATGATTTAATTTTTCAAGGGAGCTCTCTATTACAGTTAAAAGTACAATCCATAATTTCTGTTGACTTCTAATGACCTCCATAGTCAGTCACTATGCAGTGTAACAACTGCAGCACCCTCCATGGTCCTTGAGGCACAGTGGCCTGGTTGGTCTCTTCAGTTCCTGCTTCTGAAAATTAAGTTTTGAAAAGCCAGAGATCTCAGCAGCTGTTAAAGCGATCGTTGAGTCAATGGCATTGATCAAAATCCCCTATCAACCCCCTGCAGATATATTATTGCAACCATGTTCCATGAAGGAGAAAAATATTACTTACTGCCATGTTAAAGAACACCTTTTGCAACACTTGGGTCCACGAATAGAAACAAAAATGGGCGCTCACAGCTGAAGAATGACCCTCACACAGAGAACACCCTTCAGAGAGATTACAGAATCAGACTCTCACAAAGTTCTGCTCTTAGCAGTCTTAAAAGATCTTCAATAATAACTACATCAAAAGCTTTTCTTCAAGATTCATCAGGATACAACATGAGCACAGACCAAAGGATGCTTTTAATGCGGGCATAAATGGGAATGTTTGGCAATTTACAGATCAGAAAGTGATGAACTAGCATTTGTTAGCTCTTTTAAACATTTATGAGTTAAATAATACATTACACATTAGTGCAGCGCAAAAAAGATCAAATTGAAAGGGCCCGAGCATATGAGGTCTTGATAAACACAAGTTAGAGGTTCAGAGATGAAGGCTCAGCTCTCTAATCATAATTGGTCCCAGTAGATTGCCAGAATAAAAATGCACAACAAAGTAATGTTGTACGAGGCCCTGGCCTGCTTTGAAAACTCATAATATTCACACGACATTAGATTCTGTGTTTGCCTCAGCAGCTGCTCACAAAAGGCAGCCATGAACAAAGACATTCCTTTTGCATTTCAAATAACCAAGCTCTAACCTCCCCCCATCCACAGCAATCTCCAACTTCCAATCATAATTCAAAACACCATCACTATACTTCTTAAAACATGAGGAAATAGCTTCAGCAAAATAAGTAAGACAGAAAAAATAGTGGAGGAAAAGAAGAGGAAAGAGAAGGAAATAGAAATCCATTAATTTTCCATTTTCCATGGACTTGCTCTTTAAGGGTCCTCTCCTCACAAACCAAGAAGCATTGAAAAACCAATTAATCAAACATGAATGGCCTATCATAGATATAGCAGACGCATTTCCATAGCAACAGCCTCCAGGCAAAATTGTCACCTTTTAATCTGAGCCACACCATGTTTAATATAAACAAGAGGGAGACATGCAGAAAAGCGGGAGTTCATCGGGGGGGGGGGCACCATGTCACCATGGCATCGTGGGTACTGGGTGTCACCCTCATGAGAGTATGACCAGCAAAACCCTGGGATCACAAAGGCTTTAAATCATTTAGGTTCCCATTTGAAGTAACTGATTTCAGACATGTATTGTAAATTGTGACAATATGTTCTGTACCATCTCATCTCAGTCTTTGGTTAGTCAGCAGTTAGACATTACAAAATATAGAAACATAAAAACTGTTGTGTTCTAGTGGAAGTCTGAAGTCAATAGTGTAAGTTGCATTATATAACCACTATAAAAAGTAGATATGTAAGTGTGCATTACCTTATTACAGTTACTAAAAGCAGCAAAGCGCAGTATAAAACCTAAAGGACTAGTACTCATTACTCAAAACGCTCCTACTGTTATAATCTACTTCTAACAGTAATTCCTATGTCCCTATTAAAAAAAAAAAAAAAAAAAAAAAAAAACCATCTCAGAGTGCTTTTAGTTGTTGCTTTCACCTGTGCGAGACAGAAAGAGCAAAAAGTTATCACATAGTGCCATCAACCCCGAGCTAAATAAAGCGAGCGGCAGACGGCTGTACAAATATTATGAAAGAATCTGACAAAGGTTGCTGGTTGCCATAGGTACTGTATGCTAATTCCTAATGGTATCATCCAAATGGCTGGCCAAAAGAGAGAGAGAGGGTGTGGGGGGGGTGGCATTGTGAGTAACAGGATTTAGTTGGTCAGTGCTCTCTGCCTTTAGCATGTAACACATACTGACTTTTCCAGGACTCTCAACATGGACACTGTGCTTTTGCTGTGTTTTCATAGTACAACTACCAACTTGAGCAATGTAGTGGCCTAAATTTATATATTTAGATTATTTATAAAGTTGAATTCTGAGTTCTCTTGGGTATTGTCTTGGCTATGCTCAACCTCCAGGCAATTTAGCTGTTTGCTGTAAAGCCCCAGGAGATTAAAGTCCCTCATAAACAGACGAGTAAGAGGAAAGGAAAGAGGACACAGGAACCGAACGAGAGACAGGGAGAGAAAGAGAAAACGGAGGGAAAAGTACAGAAACTACAAAAGAAAAAGAAGCAAAAAAGAGACCCCACATGACCTAAGGACTAAAATTCATCTCCAAAGTTAGCAAGGGGACAGTTAGATATTGCTTTTTGGCGATGAGCAGCCAGGCGGACCTAAACTGTGATGTAAAGCCAGGAAACTCGGTGTGAACGTGTTCTCCTGCCATCGTTACGCCTGTCGTGTTTGTATTCACATCTTGTACATCATAGTCAAATGGGAGTCAAATAACAAAGGCTTTCCAATTATGTGTAGCACATTGTGTGCGAGATGGAATATCACAAAGCCATTGTTCCCCTGCTCCTGCTGACCTTACCTTTGAAATGGTTTCACGGCCGCTCCAATTGCCTGCACCATTTGATTTAGCTAAGGGGATTTGACCACCAGCACAGAGATGAGAGAAGGGGAGAAGAGAGCTCTGTGCAGCCACAAGGAGAAAGAGGAGAGATTCACACCAGAGGAGAGTAAAGCAGCTAACCTTGCTTCATCCTTATGATGATTATACCAGAGTGGCATCTGTTTCATCAGTTAAATAAGCGGGCTGATTGCTATGCAAGGTTTTATTGCGCTGGCTTCATAATAAAGCAGCCTCTCCATGCTAAAGAATCAATAAATGTTGTGGTCATGTTTCAGCTTATTAGCACCATCTAAAATAAATCTGTCAGTTTTTCATTATCAGCCGTCTGTGGAGCTGGAGTCCATTCACTTCTAGTTTACTTGCTTCAAAAATATAAATGCAAACTGAAATTTACTTGACAGTGAGCATTATTTCCCCCAGATGCAGCATGGTATCATCCAGTATTTAACATCACCTGCTGATGCCTTTTAATCTGACATTCAGACCCTGTCTCTATCCCGTCCTGCCCTCTTTCAGTAGGCAGTGATCAATGCTCCTGTGAGTCCTGAGACTTTTCTCTCCTCACTCCCTGCTTGACTGGAACCATCTTGTTTAGAGTGATGGCTCACTCACACAGGTTCACGGCTGCTATTGTAAAATCACCCAGCGTTTAATTGAAACAAATGACTATAATAATAGAACATTATCCCTGCAGGCACCCAGCCATGACAGCTTTAATT